CTAATCCGTATCTAACCTAATCCTAACTAAGCTAACCTAACCCTAAACTAACTCAACCCCCCCCCATAAACTAACTGAACTGTGTAAAAAAATAAATAAATAAAGACTGAATTAATAGAGAGTGGATTATTAAAAATTACGGAAAAGATAAAGTTTATTTAGTGTAGCTGAGAAGAGTCGTTCAACAGACTTCTTATTATTATGAATTTACTTACTTGGTTACTGCTGGCTGGAGAGAGCAACACAAATGGCCCATAGGGCATAGACTGTGTTACTCTGCCTGGGCTCAACTTCTGCTAGGTGGTGGGAAGAGGTGTTCGGCTTATGTTACAATTTTGAAAAACTGTACCGTTCTGGCATTTGTTGAGAGGTTTTTGCCATATTTATACCGAAGTGTTTGTACTCTTTTCTCCCTTCAGGACCGGACCCACATATCGCCCTAGCATTCGCAATTCCGAACGTCTTCTCCGAAGAGAGAATTGAGCTTTACACTACCTTATCTAGCCTAACTCCCTCTAATCTTAATAACCTAACTTAACCCGTCACTAATCATCACTCTAACCCTACCTAACCTAACCCGTCTCTAATCCTAATTCTAACCCAACATAACCTAAGCTAACCCATCTCTAACCTAACACTAACCTAGCCTATCTTTAATCCTTACACTAACCCTACCTAATCCAACCCACGTGCATTTCCCGTTAACACGAAAAGGTCACCCGCAAAAAAATTGTAGCATATCCATGTTAAAATATCTCATAGAAGTTTAAAATGATTATGTTCGCGTACAAGGAATGCAAAACCAGCAAGGTACCTTTTATATCGGTCAATAATCATTACGTTGCATAATGCAATGTCTTAACATAATTGGTGAAAAGTACACATTATTTAATAAAGATCGGTTTTTTTTTTATTAAGTCTGTGAGCCAGATATGACAAAAAGAAGACTAAGATCTCATAGCACCCTTTGCCAGGTCTTCGCCCCCGTCCAGAAGAAAGCCACCGTCCGCATCATCTCTTCCAAATGATGGCACTTTGTCAAAACCAGGTGGATCTCCTAAAAATTATCTGATGTTGTGCCAGCCATGCACACCTTTCCCGGATCGTGGATCATTCGAAATTCCAGATAGCTTCTACCAGGGTGTAATACAATATTTAAAAAAACATATTTAGAAGTAGTAATAATCCGTTTAAAAGTCTTATTTTGACTTTTGGCATGTTTAAGGAGGAAGAAATTGTTAAGAAACAAATTGTAAATAAAAATAAAAATAATTTCCCAATTAAAAAATGTCGCATAAATACGTAAACTCTAAATATTTGCATATTAGGGAGTGTACAACAGCCACAGCATATTTTTTATAGCGGTCAATAATCTTTATCTTGGATATTCTTTTGTTTGCCGCGGATAGAATTTCACCTGCAATTTCTTTACTTGGAGAGTGATTTGACTTGTACATATCGTTTTATGACGTTGAGATTTCATTTTATATGTTTAGGAAGTGTAATATTTTCCAACTTACTTTTTTAAGAGAATGTTTCCCTTTGTAAACGTTACTGACTTGCACTTGGCACGGAAAAGGGGAAAACGTTTGTCATATCATTCACACAAAATAATTAAAACTAAACATAAATACTACCTCAAAATTGAAAATTCCTCTTAAAAGTGTACCAACCAGAACTATTTGAGTATTTATTTTGTCTGCGATGGACTGAGGGATTTTAACGTCAATTTCCCTGTTTTGAGTGTGATTTGCTAAGTACACATTCTTTTATGAAGAACCGTAGGAAATTTTTTATTATATTTTAAAGAAGGTAATAAAATTGAAAGAAACTTATTTGGAAATAATAATGACCCATTCAAAAAGGTGGTTGTCCTTTAAAAACGTTATCGACTTGTTCTTGGCACGTGCAAGGAAGCATCAAAAACTTTTTGATAAGGATTTACTAAAAATAAAAATGCTTACCTAATTAAAAAATCGTCGTGTACATGTAAATTAAATACACATTTAAGAAATGCAACCACCCACAGGATATTTCCCAGTGGATGGTACACAAAAGGACATTTGGAGGAATAAAATTTTTGACAAAACCATTCCATTAACAACTTAAAAACTATAAATGACTCATAAACGTGTAAACTGCAGGTAAATAATTTAAATTGAGCGTACAGACAGGGAAATGCTTTCCAACCACACAGTTTCTATATGAGTCAATAATCATTATCTTGCATATCCTATTTTGCTTCCTGTAATCCATTTTTTATGTTGATAAATTTATTTCGACGACAATTGATTTTGAATCTCTTTTGAAATGTTTACCTTCTTTTTGGAAAAAAGTAACATTTTATTAGTTTTTATATAGATAAAGCGAAACCAAATATCTAGGCGTCACACTATATTGGATGCAAAGATGCTAAAAATCTTTTGACAAAGGATCCCAAAAATTAACTACTAATTAATCATCTCATAAATATGAGAATTGCCTGTAAATAATATAAATTATATGTACATATAAGGAAATTCATACCACCCACCTATTTTTATAGCAGTAATAACTTTTATATTTTTGTGTTGGCTATTGATAATTTAATTTCGACGGAAATTTCTTCATTTTGACTCGGCTTTAAATTGTCTACGCTCTTTTTTTTAGTACAAATTGTACTAGTTTTTTCAAGGGGTGGTTGTCTTTTAAAAACGTTATTGCCTTGACTGATCCTAGCACATGCGAGGAGACAAAAAAATCTTTGGACAAATGCTCCTTAAAGATTAATAACTACTTATAATTATAAATACCTAATACAAGTGTAAATAGCATGTGAATAACATCATTTGTATGTACTTTAAAGGTAATACAAACCGGCTACATATTTTCCTCATAGTGAATAATCATTATATTGCTTATTAAACCATTTAGTCATAATTGTCCGTATTAATCATTTTATTTTTTTATGATTAGTGGTCTAATTGAGCAAATTAATTATTTCAATTAATTATTCTTTTTTATGTGAGGTGATGAAAACGTTAGTGTCACGAGCGGGATACATAAAATTAATTGCATAAAAATAATAATTAATTTTAATTTTAATTTTGATTAAAAGTATAATTAATTAAAATGTTACATATTTTTGTGTTTGCACAACTGTTACACAACCACATATAAATTGAAAATCTCTCATAAAAGTGTAAGTTGCATGTAAATAACATAAGCTCTGTGTACATAAAAGGAAATGCATAATTTCGACGGCAATGTCTTTATTTTGCCTCTGTTTTAAATTGTTTACCCTCTTTTTTTTAGTAAGAATTTTACTCCTTTTTTAAAAGGGTGGTTGTCCTTTAACAACGTTATTGCCTTGACCTTGGCACATACAAGGAGGCAAAAAGTTGTTTTTTTTTTCCTCCAAATGGTCCCCATAAATTAACAACCACTTATAAATTGTAAATATCTCATTAGTAAAAATTGTACTACATTTTTAAAGGGGTGGTTGTCTGTTAAAAACGTTATTGCATTTACTGGCCCTAGCATGTCCAAAAATCTTTGGACAAATGCTCTCCATAGATTAATAACTACTTATAAATTATAAATACCTAACACAAGTGTAAATTGCATGTGAATACATAATTTGTATGTATTTTAAAGGAAATTCAGACCAGCCATATATTTTCCTCACAGTCAACAATCATTATATTGCATATTAATCCATTATTTAGTAGTCATAATTGACCTATTAATTACTTTAATTAATTTAGATTAAAAGTATAATTAATTAAAATGTTACATATTCTTGTTAACACAACTGTTACACAACCACTTATAAATTGTAAATATCTCATAAAAGTTTAAGTTGCATGTAAATAACATAAAACGAAATGCATACTAGCCACATATTTTCCTCATATTCAATAATCATAATATTGCATATATTTGTGTCTGCTATTGATAAAGTTTTTCTTTGCTTTGCATCTATTTGAAAAGGAGTTGGATTTCATTTGTTTTGTTTTTTTCTTTAATTGAAAGAATCATGTTTAGTTTTTAGAAAGGTCTGTTTTTAAAGTGGTGGTTGTCCTATAAAAATGTTGGCTTTCTTTAGCATAAACAAGGGGGAAAAAACTTTTTGATAAATCAAAACATTAAGATAAAAACATATTAAAAATTGTTCTTAATAAAAATAAAATCATTATTTTAATTACCATTAAAGATAATTTTATCTATAGTAAATTAACGATGATGTATTAATTCAAAATAATTGTGCTCATAACTGTCAAAATGTAACAAAATCTAAAATTACCATCAAAGTTAAAATAGAAACCAAAACAATTATAACCATTTTAAAATTCATTCCGCAACGTTTGAGTAGATTAAAAGCATATTACAAAAAAAAAATCTGTAAAGATAAAATAATTTATTTTCTCTTATCTGTCTTTAAAACAAACAAAAAAGCGACTTTCTAATTAATAGTGAAACGGTTGGACACTTTTTTTTATGCCTAAGCATGTTAATATCGTAATGGAATATTTCAAAAGGGGACTCGAATATATCGTAGAATATTGATACGATAAACTGACCCTCAATGGCTAAATATCCAAAAAAGGGAGGAAAAATTGACAAATGTCATGACATGTAGGGTTTGATCGACATGCGAATTGGAAGTGACGACGGTCAGAAACGGCTTGTTTACAAACATCGTATCGACCCAAAACAATGTGATTCTTTCTTGAAGAGGTCGAAAGCTTTCTTGCAGACCGATTACCCGTTGTTCCGGGGCCGAAGAGCGGGATGACAACTGTTGTTATCGTTTGGCAACGTAAAAGTCAACCGATTATATAACGGATTGGGAGATCGGGACGTCCTGTCAACTGACGTCGGTCCCAGACTGGGTCCGTCGGTCTTCGCTCCGTCGGCCCGTCATTCCGCTCCAAATTCCAGGGCGTTTCTTAATGAGAATTTTATTCCAGTCGTTAATGACTGAGGTTAGACTGGAAATAGTGGTGAAGCGTACTCACGGGCTGTTATCAAGTCCTGGAAAGTGTTGCACAGGACTCGGTTCCGTGTCTGGATCTGGGTGAAAATCGCATCTCGCCAGCCCGAAGACACCAAACCTGGCTCCATACTTGTCAAACGGCGACTCCCGGCCCAACTCTGAACATGCTTTTTCCCTTCCGCCTTCACCTTCTCACGAATCGATCTCGCAGGCGACACTAATCTAACACGATCGATAATGAATCGAAATCGCTCAGACTCAATTCCCCCCATACTTGAATAACTGAAGAAGTAATTTCAAACAGTTTTCAGCCTGCCTAAAAAATGTTTCCGATCGTTTTGATCTGCCTATCCTCGCTAATTTGGTTAATTAGAGGCGTTTCAGCCGTTTACCTTCAATGACGACTACAATCCCACAAATTATGGTGGGTTTGTAATCAGTGATGGCTTTGTGTTCATCAGTGGGTTTGTGATCTTCAGTTGGAGGGTTTTGGTCACCATTGGTAAGTTTGTAATCTTCAGTGTTTATTTACGTACTTTTATATACATACGGATCAATGATCCTTTTACAAAGAATAAAATCACAAGATTATAAATAATTTAATTAGCAGATAAACAAAATTGATAAAATAACAAGAACTGAAACAACTACAGACAATAATCCAATTATGTTTGGCGGTCTAATTGACCAGATTACTTATTTCAAATAATTATTATTTTATATTAGGTCTTGGTTGAGATGAAAAAGCTAGTGTAACAAGCGGGATTCGAACCCACCCCTCGCCAAAGGTTGTGGGTTCGAATCCCGCTCGTTACACTAGCTTTTCATCTCAACCAAAACCTTACATAAAAAGAAAAATTAATTGAAATAATAATAATAAACAATAAAGAAGGAATTCTGGGGGCTTTTGGAATTTGTCAGAAAGAAATTTTTATGCAGTTCTGTTATAGAGAGAGAATGGGTAAAACACTTTTCTCTTCTTCTCAATCCCACAACGGAATTAAAAAGTATTATGTTCGCACCTCCTTATATAGTTGATGTGAAACTGGACGCAAAAATATCTTTCAATGAACTTCAGATTGTATTAGGGAAAGCTAAACATAATGAGGCCCCGGGTTTAGACAGAATTCCGTATGAATTTTTTTTAAAATAGCTCACGCAACTTCCTAGAAAAACTATTGGATAATTTAAATTTAATTTTTGAAAAAGGTTTAGTACCATCATCATTCAAAAAAATCTATCATTTTTCCTTTATTTAAGCAAGGTGAAGTGAATACTGTCAGTAATTATAGAGGAATATCCTTTACTGACACTATTTCTAAGATATTTACGGGGATACTACTGAATAGATTAGAAGAATAGTGTAATTTAAATAATATCTTGGTAGAGAGCCAGGCAGGATTTCAGGAAAAATATTCCGCTGTGGATAATATTTTTAGTTTAACTAACATTATAAAATTGAAATTATCTGTAAAACGTAGAAAAGTTTACTGCTGCTTTGTTAATTTTAAGTTGCGAATTAATCAGCCTCCACAGCTTTGCCAGCTCCTAGTGTAGGATCTTGCTTGTGGTTTTTTTTTGCCCTAGTTGCATGAACCTGCACCTACATATATCTTAACAGAAAAATAAAATGTGTTCTGCGGTCTCCTCTTCCTGGCATGTGCCTTCTTAAGTAGCAATGCCCTGTCAAGAGTCTAACCAGAATCCTGGTTCAGTTGTGGTTGCCTTCCAGTAATTTTTTGTAAATTTTGCGTCCTATGAATCTCTTCATGTGCCTCATACCTGTAGTATTATTCCACCTGGTTCATGGTAGACTCATTAAGGATCCAATTTAAAATTTATCCTCTTTTGTGGCAGGCTTTTAAGCCACAGTAGGGTTCAGGGCCCAGAGAATTCATGTTGGCTCCCTTTTTGGCCAACATGTCAACCTTTTCGTTGCCTCTATGCCCCAAATATCCAGGAACACATGCCAGGGTCAGGTCATTAGTGTCACTGACTTCCGTCAGGGCCTCCATGCAGTTCCAAACACTCTTTGCCTATGCCTCGCATGAAGCTAGGGCCCTAGTGCTGCCTGGCTGTTAGAGAAAATGGTTATCTTCCGGGAATGTATTCCTAGCCTTTTTATTTCTCTGATGCATTGTTCAATTGCTATGATTTCAGACTGGAAAACTGTAGCATATTTGCCTAGGTTTACCGTCAATTCGGTCTTTGGATTCATCCTGAAGACTCCAGTTCCCGTACCCTTGTCAGTTTTGGAGCCGTCACTATACCAGTAGGAGTTTGCCTTAGTCACTTTGCTCCTGCCTTATTCGTGCTGGTCTCATTTAGCTTTGGAAATTGTGGAAAGAGGCCCATGATATCCAAAAATTATAATTTATCACTGTATGTGCCTCAGAAACCACTAAGACCTCTTTCACGCCTTTCAGACGAGGCGTTTTGGTTGATTCAACTAAGTTGCCCAGTTGACTCAACTGATTTACTGCCAAGTGAAGACTCTTTCTTTGCTGGTTTCACACCGGGCAACTTGTGGAATCAACCTCTCTTCCCAACGGAAGGTCATTACGATATTAGAACCCGAGGAAGCAGGAGCACATCTTCTGCAAAAAGAAAAGCAAAAAAGGAGAAAACCCAGTAAAGAAAAGTGTGGGTTTATCCGTTGTTTTAAAATGGGGAAACAGGCGCTTTCTCTCAAATACTGTTGTGTTACTTCCCTCCAAGCTTCGCTTCTTTTAATTTTGTCACTATACTCCTCACACCTCATGTCTCATATCAGGGGACTAATACGAATTTCTTCAATGAACTGCTTCACATTGAAACTTCATGAAACGCTTTCCATGGTGTACTCAGTTGATTCAACCAGGCCACTGGTGTGAAGGACAAATACCGAGCAGTCTTTTGTGTTGAGTCAATGAGTTGGGATGAGAATGTGAGTGGCACTTGTGCCTGCTGGCCACCCGCCTGAGGCTTCTTTTCCATATATTTTTGATATGGATATAATTTTCTTTTCCATACTGTATATAAAATTAATTTAAGTAGTAAACCTAACATGGAAATCAAGTTCTTTAAAATATTGTAATGCATTCAATTTTTCAGGAACAACTAATTTACAAAATTGAAGGTCATTTCATTTACATATAAATAGTTAATATTTGCATGTTTTCAAACCCCATTTAAGATAATTAAGAGATTGGTTACTTTATTTGTTAAAAATTCTTTGGGCAATTACAATGATGTTCTTACAATCTATTTTGATAATTACTTTTAATAGTAAACCTTTGTATTAGATTTTTTCCTGAAATTGACCAAATAATCAAGTTGCTCACACAAAAATTTCAAGCTTCAGATTAAAACTGTCTGAATATTAAGTTGACAATTTGGTCTGTTCAGCTTCTCAATGTACTGATTCCTTCCAAGCATATTTTTCCTGAGTGCTGTTTTCTTATGATGACAGAAATATATCTGACAGACCAAAATAGTGATTATAAGCTGGTCAAAATGATCGAAAACATCCAAAGTACCATCACCAGCCCACAGACCTCAAGATGAAATCTCACAACAATTATTGGGGCACTCTCAATACGACACGCAAGGATGGCACAATTACACAGAAGACAAACACTTTGAGCCCTGAAGATGATCTCAATAAAAGATCGAAACGTTGGCACGATAAAGAAAATGTTTCTCTGAAACTTACATCACACCCGACCACATCTCACGATATCTGAATAACAACAATTATTATTAGTAGTAGTAATAATTTACAATTGAAGGAGACGGGAAAGGATTAGAAAATACAAGTTCAATAAGTTCAACATCATTGAGAATAAATAAGAAGTCAAACACATAAATATGTATTTTAAAATATTCAACAGAACACTTAAATAACATTTGATAGTTGCTTATTGTCAATACATACCACTGATAGCATTGTCTTAAATGCAATAAAATACATGAGGCAGTAAATACAATACTATAATTGACTAGATTCCTATTTTAACCTAACATTACATTATAAGTACTACAATAAAATAAATTTCTTGGTAAAAGGAAGTTAAGTACCGAACATCCATTTATCTTATAGGTAAAATGATGTATTGTTTTGCTGCATTCTTTTATATTGTACTTTTTTTACAAATTACTTAAAATAGTAGTTTTTTAAATTGAAAAGCAGTTGAAGTCGTCTATTTGAAGTACAGAGAACCCCGATTCTAACCAATTCAGTTAAAAATTAAAGCTAAAATATGTTTTTACGATAAATGTGATTTTTATCACAGTTGTTTAAAATGATAATTTTTTAAAAATCTAGTAGTAGTAATTGTAAAATCACATCTTTAAATTGGCAAGAGTCAACACACTTTTTATGTAGCCTAAACAACATTTATTTTTGAAAGTGGAAAAAAATCAATTATCGCTTTATCACCTCAGTCGACAAAGATTTTCTCTAGGCCTTTGGAAGTGGTGAAGTTTCCTCAATTGGTTTGTTACTGTTCTTTTTTAAATTTTCCAGCTCTTGGTTTAGGAATTCTACGATATCATTCCTTCCAAATGTCTTGGCTTCGTCCATAGGGGAGTTGCCCCATCTATCCTTTACATCCATAGGGGCGTTGCATTCTCGGAGAAATCTGACACAGTCAAAGTGGCCCTCTGCAGCGGCTAAGTGCATGGCAGTTCTCCCATCGTAATCAGACAATGACATGTCCATTGCTGACAATCTGTGCCTCCTCAGTGCAGATAAGTCTCCGTTTGCTGCAGCAAACAGTAAATTAACAACATTCAGACCTTTTGTCTCGTACTTGTGCTTTCGTGGGTCCTTTTTGTTCGTTGCATGTTTCAGATTGTCATAACGGTGGAAATTAAACACATTCACTAATTCCTAAAACCCATTTCAAAAAAAAAAATTTAAATTTTCATAAAACCCGACCAAAATTTAAACTTACCTCACAAAACTGAACACCTCTGCAACTGTTTCCGAGTGGATCTAGAGGCGGGGACCAGGAGCATATCCCCATTACATTTGGTATAACGATCAGCATACCTCCACTCACTCCCGATTTTGCCGGAAGCCCAACCTATGGGAAACAAGCTCTAGCATTGATTTTTTAGTTGATGCTGTTCTTGAACATACCTTGAACGCAAACTGTCCTGAATAATCGTACATTCCACATGAATGCATTAATGAAAGAACATCACGGATGGAATCCGGTTTTAATACTTTCTCCTCTGTTATGGGGCAGATTCCTCCATTGGCCAGTGTAGCAGCCATAACTGACATGCTTTCACAATTTGCCTCCATTGAACAGCACTGAAATGTAAATAAATAATTAATTAATATAAAAAGTTGCAAATTAAGCATTTTACAAACACACTTTTTTTTACACAATTTTAAAACAGTGTGGTGATTAGTGACCGTTAATCGATAATTATTCAGAAATCGTGAGATGCGGTCTGGTGTGATGTAGGTTTCAGAAAAACATTTTCTTTATCATGCCAACGTTTTGATCTTTATTGAGATCATCTTCAGGGCTCAAAGTGTTTGTCTTCTGTGTAATTGTGCCATTCTTGCATGTCGTGTTGAGAGTGCCCAAGGGAAGAACAATTCAGAATATGGTCATCGCAACTGGATTACTGTTTTACTGGATTGAGAGGGCACTCTCAACACGAGCAACACAATTTAATTTTGTTTTAAAAAAATAATGTGGTATTATTTCCAGTTCTTCTTTGTTGGTTGGTTTTTCTTTTATTTGAAGATTTTTTTGTTTTTTGATGAAGTAAACCAATCTTTTTGTTTGTATTTCTTATTTATTTTTTATTTATGTATTGCAGGTCTCTATCCTATACCTCTTCAGACAACTCTGCTGGAGTTTACAACCTTAATACCTGTATTTTGAGACTGTATCTTGCTGGAATTGTCTTAAGAAAGGACAGGGTACATCCCCGAAATGCATGAATAAAAATATGGAAACAAAAAGTTTGGATTACTTCATTAGAAAACCAAATATGTACAAATAAATAAAATATATATATTAGACTTGTATAACTCACTTGAAAGTAGAAATCCATGCATTCCTTCAAATTGGTCTTTTCAGGATAGCATTTGTGTTCTCTCATATAAAAACCGAGTGCATAATTGCGATCAGCAGCTTCCCTTTCAGATAGGAACACAGCATTGTTAAAACCCATATATTCACCACCGGCTAATCTCTATATGAAATAATAAATAATGATTTTATTGAATGAAATCTCAAAAAATGAAAAGCTAGAAAAATTGAAAGTGAGAAACGTAAGTTCACTTATACATTGGAAGCTTTTGTTTCAATAAATACCTTAAATAAGTTCATTGTAAAGTCAAATTTCTCTGCTAATGTCATTTCTGGATAAATTAATGTTTTAAGCAGGGAGCAAACTAGAATCGCTCCTGCATTTATCATTGGGTTGTGTGGCTTTTCTATAATCAATCAATCATTAATAATTAAACCATATTGTAAATTAAAAAAATTTGATACTGACTGTTGTGATCAAGAACCAACTCGTTAAAATTACGACCAGATGGTTCTTGCCCAACGTACTGATGCACAACGGATTGGCCGAGCTGGTCAAGGGCAATTCCATAAGTCAGAGGTTTGCTGGAACAGGAAAAAGCATTTTAGTCTTAAAAAATCTTATTTTTGCACACAAAAAAGGTACCTTGTTGATTGCAAGGTAAACGGAATCTTGACATCTCCAATAGAGAACCTTTGACCATCAATTGTGCATACACTAATACCCCAATAATCAGGATTTACTCTAGCTAGTTGCGGAATGTAATTTGCTACCTTTAAAAAATGAAAAAAAATTTTTTTTTTCAAAAAATCAATTTTTCCTTTCCATTCAAAGATACCTTTCCTTCCGAATTCGGCTTGCACTTCCAATAAAACTCTTCAATATGTTTTGTAAAATCTTTGAAATCTGGGATGATAAAATGATGCCGGAAAGCTTTAGATATCAACACCAGATTTGCCGATATTGTCCTATGACAGTGAAATTAAATTAAGAGCTAATTACACCATGTGTTTGTGTAACATAATTGTTCAATCCACCTTGCCTTTTGAAAGTATTTCTATCAAGTTTTTGAGTTTCTGGAGAACCGCCTTCTCGTCCCGATTCCTTGTGGGTCTCTCTAAGATTCTCCATGAAGCCGGCAAGACGTGGGTCATTCTTCCTTAGACCTGTATGGCTCAACGCCTACAAATTTGTTAAATATTTGCTACACGTACCAGAATTTCATTGTGCATACATACAGCTAAAAATTTCCCGACAGACATTAACTCAGGGTTTTCGTCTGTTTTAAACATATTAAACAGGAGGGTCTCTGTAGTTTCTGAATCGAGTGAACCCGTAGTGCTAAAATTTAAAATACAAATCAGAAACCTATATATTTTAATAAAGGACAAATTGTGTATTGTTTTTGTTTGTTCTAAAAAAATTAAATACCCAAAATGTACTTACTTGCGTGCCCCATTAGAACCTTGAATTACTGAGAAGGGCCTTACGTGTGCAAAAAAGAAAAATAGGGGAATTTTTTAGTATAACTTATGGAATTCACATAGTGATTTAAGTGATGCATTCGAAAGTTCTAATTTGAATAATTGAAAATGTAAAAAATAAATTGAAACCAAACCGTGCAATAGTACTACACTAAATCGATAACCTTGCTAGAATAACATTGATTACCTAGGTGGAGGGCCAAAAAGGGCATGTTTTCTGAAGTCAATGTTATCCTTGGAAATTTTTGAAAAGACCTGAAATAAATAATTAACTGGTTCATTAAAATGGCTATGAATTGTAACAAATTCAATTAAAAATTAACATGAACCCTATTTTATCATTTTTCTTTGTCATAAAGAGTATAATAAAATAAAAGCATGTAATTTTAAAAATTTAACTTGTCTCCAAATTGCTTCTCTAGAAAAGGAAAACAATTTAATATTATGGTAATTAATAGTTAGTTAATTTATTTAATACATAATGTGGTATGTACATTGTAAAAAGTAATTTAATTATACTCCCTAGTGGCAGAGGACTTTAAATACATTTACAAGAATTACTAATTTAGCCTAAATAAATAAATAAAATGTGGAAAAAAATTATTTAGAAAAAAAACCACTTCCAGTAGGAAAACTATTAATTATTTCTTAACAAGTACCTTCTAAAAATGCATGAGGAATTGAATTTTTTGTTTTTACTCTTTATAGTAAACATGGTAGCGAGTATGATAAGACTATTAAGAATGTGATTGTAACATTTCAAACTGATTGCAAACAAGTTTCATGAATTAAATGTCAACATTTTAATTGATGAATGGCAGGAAAATTGTCCAAACTTCAACCGCATTTAATGTTCTTGAATTCATCTATGTATAGTAGTTTCTCAGTTATCTCATTTCCATCAAATAAAATCAGAGGTATTTTATATATTATTGCACAAATACTATAATTTATGAAGTTTCTTCTTGATGTCTGTAGTTTAATAACATAACACCCTTGTCCGCCTATCTTCACAGTTGATTGTCATGTGTTTATCAGCATTTTGCCAACTATAAGCAGGGTGAGGAGAGGATAACTCTCAGGTGCCTTGCCTCTCCCTGCTTATAGACCTGACAAATCACTTAATGTTGTGAAATACTGAAACTTAGCTTCCTCATTCCTGTATGACCAAAACAGGAAGAACGTGAAGACCAAGATGATCGCAAATCATCAACTACTTTAGCTAAACTAGTGGTTTTTGTGAAATTGTGTAAAACTAAACCAAGGTTATTTTATTCATATATTTATTTATTTTAAATTTTTAAAGGTGGATAAATGCAAGGCTCATTTAATCTGTAAAGTTAAAAAAGAAGGCTAAAAGTCTGAAAAGAATTTTTTGCATGAGTAAATTTTACATTAAATTATAATCTTAACAATATGGCGCTCGAAAATTTCAAGTATAAAGTTTCTAAATATTTTTTTTTCTTCTTGTAATTCTGTAATCTTAACACATTAACTTGTAGTTTGATCGTTTCCGACAATTTAGTTCGGTTTATCGCCGTTGTTTTCATCTGTCAGGTTTATCAGATGCACTAACCCGCCAATGAAGATGGCGAGATGCCGAAAAGCGACTGTCGGAACAAAACTGTGAGGATAGGCAGACCAGAACGATCGGAAACGACCAAACTACAAGTTAATGTTGAGATAAATTACAGAAGTAAATAAGAAAATAAATCTAGTCTAGACAAAATAAAATTGGTCATTCAATTAAATTATAGTGTCGTTCTTACAATTAATTGCCAAGCCGTAAGTCTAATGATAAATAAATCTGCAACGATTGTTATGGTTCTCAGAGTCTGGAGGTTAAAAAAAACGGAAAAATCCTTACTGTAAGCCAAAAATATTTTATGGTTGTATTTGATTGATTAATTTTTTATTTTTTTATTTTCGATCATATCAACAAAAATATTTCAGCAATTTGTGAATTTTGTTAGGGTGGTCTTGTTCATCTCCTGGATAGTTCATATTTAATTATTACCACTGGGTTTCGTATTATTTACGTTGCTGGGTGAGATTGTTTCTCCACAATTGCATTGTTATAATAAAAATAATCAATAATTGTTTTTTTCGTTCTGTCTAGTTCTGCATGTTCGACAGCAATTAGAGCATACGATATTTTGCGCTCATTTTTGCACATATTGATTTTTTGGGTCAAGATTAGTTTTTAACAACCAAAACGCAGGACAACAAATTTACGGTAGTTTACTACCAAGTACTAAAAAGCAGTAACGAGAAAGTAAAGATGTTTTATAGATCGTTTACATACTCTTCAAAATAGTTTATATCGATTTTTTCTGTTATTTATAAAAGAATGCATTTATTTTTCGAACTAAACGATTCTTTTAATCAATATACTAATGACGAGTGCCTATATAGTAAATTTTCAGAAAATAAAATTTTAGAAAGCCTGTAGTAAAAATCGATATTGTTGAAAGACTGTCATGCCTAAGAATATAGTAATATCATAGGACTTAGCTAATTATTAAAATATATTTTAATCAAATTTGCACTACTGTTACTAGCACTACAGATAGACCAATTTGGTTTTGCAGCCCCGTAAATCGGACACAGTGCAAAACTGTACAAAAATTCAGCTTACCTCATCAGAACTGCCGTTAGCAAAGTGTCGTTTCAATATACAATTCCTCAAGTACCGGTTTTCTGTCGTACATTTTAAAATTGTCTTGACCGAAGAAAGAAAGAACCGTCTTAGTTGAAGATGCATGTTTATATGTTAATGAGAGGAGTCCGGTTATGTCAAGCAAATAGAGAGGAATTGTGTGTGTGAAATTGTTCGAACAGATCTTACATGCTAATGGCCAATTTGATTGAAATTGTGGAAAATTTTGTTAGAAATAAATCGAGCCGGAACGAGGTTAAAATAGACGCGGAAGGGAATTAAACTAGATAAGCCATATGGTAATTATTCTTAATAGACGAAATTATGAAAAACATCAACATGGGATCTCACTAGGACGCAATTTATACACTATTATCATAAGAAACTGTAAAGTATGAAATTATGTGTGTGCATTACATAAGGGCCCGTCTTCTATCCTCGTCCCTTGACATGCGCTTTATTCCACGAATTCCCTCTTATTTTTATAACGATTCTATTTTTATTTAATCCTATTCAAACGTGTTATTTGTGAATAAAGGTCATTATTAATACATTTAATGTGTTATAATGTATTTTTATAATGATTATATGACCATCGGCCATCTTTATAAAAATCTCTACAAAAATTTCTCTTTGAAAGACGTCTAACAAGGTTCAACCCCTCCATTTCCAACCTAAAACGTTAAGAATTGTAAATTTCGTATTAATTAGCATTTTATTTTATTTTAAGCTTAATACTGCTGGACAAATGCGACTCAATTGTGTTTAATACAGCTCCAACTAAAAATTTAAATAAAATTATCTAGAACTTCTAAATACTTTACAACTAAAATATATATACAAAAATTTCTTCTGCCTTAGATTGCATTAATTTACAAAACGCTCTCAATAATCTTTCCGACTAACAAATTGTTCTTAAATAATTCTAAATGTTCTATCTCTTTTTCTCCTAGAAAATTTACTCTTTTCCATTCTTATGCCATCAAATATCAATCTCAGCTTGTTAACTAGAGCAACTTCTATAACAGATCTCGGCGCCATCTTTGATAGTAATCTTAAATTTTAAGCTACATTTACAAGAAATTAAAAATTGCTCTTTTAAAATGCTTGCTTCATCATCCAAAGTACTTGTCAATTCAAAAATCCTTTTTGCTTTGTTCATCTGAATAATTCACTTGTTCAACCTATTCTTGAATATGCCTCAAACATCTGGAATCTGCACTACTATATTGCTATAAAACTTTTACAGTACTCGTGTGTGTTGTCCCTTGCACCGGGCGGGGGGGGGCACTCCCCCTGCACTCCTGGCCTCACCGCAGTGTCCCCCCATAGTGTGATTTAAAAAAAAACAGGCGTGTGCATATGTAAGAATGAGAATAATGAATAAATAAAGAGCAGAATAAAGGTAAAATAACCCAAAGCTGGCTCGACCTTCCAAAAAAAAAAAACCTCCTACGAACCGTTAAAAATAAATTCCTTTGTACATTATATTTCAAAGTAGAAACTCACAATGACAACTCCTTTCATGCTTCCATTAAATCTTTCTTTAATATTCCTGATCTTGGCTGGAATATAAATATTCATGACCTTCTATGACAATTGCGTCTTCTTAATCATTCTATAAACATGTAATAACCAAACCTACTTTGGTGGGTACTGTTTATTCTGCCACAAACCCACTCACACAAATACTTAGTCTAGTAAATACATTCATATAAAAAGGAAACCTTTTAAACAGTATGTATAGTTAAAAGAAATGGTGAGCCATCGAGGTATTTGTAAAACAGTAAAAACTCAACCTACTTTGGTGGGCACTGTATATTCTGCCACAAACCCACTTACTCAAGTTCTCACTCTATTAAATACATTCATATAAAAAGGAAACCTTTTAAACAGTATGTATAGCTAAAAGAAATAGTGAGGCATCAAAGGATTTGATATGGATATGTAAAAACTAAACCTACTTTGTTGGCCACTGTACATTCTGCCACAAACCCACTCTCACATACTCAAACACTCACTCTAATAAATACATTCATATAAAAAGGAAACCTTTAAAACATATGTACAGTTAAAAGAAATGGTGAGTCATCAGGGCATTTGATATTGTGCCAGTGTCTTGCCCCCAATCACTCTAGAAACATGTATTACTAAACCTACTTTGTGGTGTTCGTATCGGTGGTGATGGGAATATCGGTCAATGGTTGTTTTGGAAAGAAAACGACTTCGAATCTTTGCTGACGTTTCGATTTAATTCAAATCTTTATCAAGGCATCCTGTACATATATAGTATATTATTACATTATTATTTATTATTACAGAATTACATATATATTATATACAAGAAGGCAAAAAACTTAACTTACCACTTGATCTCTAAGTGTTATCTTTTTTATTTAT